GAAGCATCATGATGCGTATTCCACCTGTGCACCTGTGTCCATGTAATCTTCACTCACCTAACCTAAATTCGTGCAGTATAACTGTACGACAATTAGTAATGTACGACATGGTGCATAATGCGTTACTCGTACAGTGCACTAACCGTACGGTCGTGCTAGTCGTCGTACAGTCGCACGTGTCGTACAACCCAATCATGGCGTACTTTTGACAGGCCATACGTTGTTATATCCTTTCTATACTTATGATCGCATATCTTAGCGTTGGTTGCGCGCTGGCATAGCTCAGTTGGATAGAGCACCCGTTTAGTAAGCGGGAGGTCTCCAGTTCGAATCTGGATGTCAGCAATATGCACTAATCCAAACTTTGTGATATCTATAATTATTTCAAGGGTCTTAGGTTTGATCCCCGTTCAGACCAAGGGAGATCTACTAACGCTGGTGAGATATGGAGATGAGGCCTTGTTGATGAGCTAGTTGTACGGGGTAATCAATTTTCAATATATATAGTCTCCCGGCTTTGACGGACACCCCCGCACTCGTGCGGCACTTGTAACTTGTAACCTAACCGGAAAGGATTGTCGTATACACAAACACACCACCTGCCAGGCCGAATCCCCCCTCACAACCCCCTCTCCCCCTTTTTCCCCTCCCCAACATACACACCTAACCGCCAAGCTGTCGTGTTGCAGCGAGTCCGTCAACTGTCTCAACCGCTTTCGGCCATCCGCCAACTGTAATTTCTCCTGAAGTACGGCAGCCACTCGCTCAAGGCCGGGTACGTCAGCGGGTAATGGCGGCATACGGCTCAGCGCGCTGTTGAGTGAGGGTGGGTGCGGAGAGACGAGGGAGGAAGGGTGGGGGGACGCGGGTGGGGATATGGTTACGACGAAGAGCACAGGTGGTTGACGAGAAGAAAAACAACATAGTGTGGCCGGGATGAGAGGCGACTCGGTGTCTGTGTGTGGGGGAGTGGGGGCAGTAGAAACTAGGTGGAGTGGTAAAAGCTACTACGTGCTAAAACAAAAGGAGAGGGGAGGAAATAGGATACCGCCGTACGGACGATACGCTTACATGCACACAGTTCTCATACACGCTGACATATATACACACACACACCTCCCCCTCCACCACAAAACACACACACACACATTCCCGCCTTTTCCCGCGGCCTTCTCACTTGCTGACATGCGCCAGGTTATCCACCACCAGCAGGGTTAGCACTCCCGCAGCCGCCCGGGATACCTCCGGTCGGGGGCTCTGAAGGAGAGGGAGCAGTACGACACTGGCCTGGGGGGTGGGGTGGGGGCAGAGGGGGTGTAGGGAGACGGGAGGGGGGAAGGGGGAAAATCGTAAGATGCAAAACGTGAGAAATACAGCTGTTCGACGTACGTACGTCCAAGGCCCGGAGTGCACAGTACTGTAGGGAATGAGGGTAGGGGCCCTCCACCTGCACATACATACGTACGTACATATATAAGTCATGCGTACAAACGTACATACATACAAATACGCACCTGCACCGCTACCCGCTCCAGCAGCGCAGGGGCGGTGGAGGCCAGGCAGCGAAGAAAAACACGCCACGCAGCCAAACTCTGTCCAAGTGGTGTAGGTGTGTAGGGGTGAGGGGGGCGGCGGGAAGTAGGGAAGGCGGCAGGGAGGGGGCCAGGGAGATAAGACGAACCGCTGGCGAATGAACCAATCCTGAAACCAATCCTAAAATTAACCCTAAAATTAACTCTAAAACCAACTCTAAAATCAACCCTAAAAGCCTAAATTAACCCTAAAATCAACTCTAAAATCAACTCGACAACCCAAAATCAGCTCGAGAACCCACCTGTAGCTGGAATTCCTCCGACGCTCCTCCTCCCCCCGCCGCCGTCGTCGCCCTGCCCACCGCCGCCGTCAAAAGCACCATCACGGGCGGCACGTGGCCCGGCAGGTGCTTTCCCAACAATACCGCGAGAACGGAAAGAGAGCGCAAGGCCTAGAAGGGTACGGCAGGGATGGGATGGGGGATATCGTACATGCAAGAAGCAAAGGGCCAGCTGCTGACGAAGAGGCGGGGAAGAAGCGGGGAAGAGAGTGTTGTATCTGCACATCATTTGCAGGTAGGCGGAATAGGGCGGGAGACGGAGGAGGAGGGGGCTTCAAGGGGGCACCTGATAAAGGGGAGGTTAAAAGAGTTGTGTGTGTGTGTGCGAGAGTGTTGGGGTTTCCCGGGTTAGGTCACCTGAGGCGTTTGAAAGCGCGAACACGATCGTTACGTATGGCCCATAAGGCCCACCTGCAACGCCTCCGCATCCGCGCTGTCCGTAGACAGCAGCCAGTGGCCACAGCTTCCGCCGCCGCCGTCTCCGAAACCACAGGAGCCCCCACCCAGTCGCGCCGCAAACTCGCCAGCCCCATGTGACCCATGGGACACATGGAAGGGACCGTGGCGGGTCCCTCGAGAGGTTGGAGAGCAGGCGGCTCCGGCCCCACCGCCACCAGCACCGCCACCACCGCCGCCACCGCCGCCGCCGCTCAGCTGCTTTCCGAACAGTTCGAATAGATTGGCTGTGAGCTCACCCACGAGGAACTCCTGAACCGGGTCGTCGCTCTGCATGTCTGTCCGTGCACGCGCGTGCGCGTGTATGTATGTGAGTGTATGTGCGCGTAAGTATGTATGTTCGGGGGGTAAAAGGGGTGAGCCTTAGGGGTAGAGGGAAAGGGGCAAAAGTGGGAAAAAAGCCAAGCGACGTACGAAAATACACACACGCACACGCACGCACACGCACAAAATACACACATCTCGCGACAACCCATATCCGCGCGCTACCCACGTCTCTCCCCCTGCACGCCTTACCCACACACCCCTACCTGCTACTTGTCCCGCCACCACCTGCATGAATGTCTGTATCCGCGTCACGATAGCGGGCGGCGGCTCCAGGGAGGGGGAGGAGGCCCAGTCGGCAGAAGGCTCACCCGCCATGATGATGGTCTGAGGGTGGGTGGGAGGGAGGGAGGGAGGGTGGGAGGGAGGGAGGGGGGAAAGACGAGCCACGAAGAGTGAAGCTGCTGCCAAGGAAAGAGTGTACAAGGAGCAGAACTGACCAGTAGGCGGTTTTGAAGGCTGCGACCTCGGGCTGATGTAATGATGATAACCGCGGAAACCCTACCTACCTAGCCGCCAAGTCTAAAATAAGAGCGGAACAAAAGCAGTAGTAGAGCGAAGCCGGGGGGAGGGGAAGGGAAGGGAAGGGAGGGAGGGGAAGGGAGAGAGGGAGACGAAGGGGTAAGAGGAAGGGGGGAAAAGAGGGCTTTGGGGAGAAGAAAGGGGTGAGAAAAGGCGGGGGGGGAGGCGCCACACATACACACCTACTCGTGCGTACCTGCTTGCTGACAACCCTAGCCATTGACACGTTCCCCAGCACCCGCTGGTGGCCGTGTGGCTCGTCCATTAGCTCGTCCACTCCGTCAATAAACGCTCCGAAGGCGGCGGTTTCTTTCCAGAAAGCGTAGGCGTACGCGTGGTGGGCGTGCAGCGTGAAGAGCTCTGCGGCGCTCATGTCTAGGAGGCGAGCCAGCTCCTGAAAAAAGGGTATCAGGGTTTTGGGGTTTTAAGAATTTTACGGTTTTAGGGTTTTAAAAATTCAAATTTCCCGTAAGGGGAATAAACACAGGAGGAACAAAAACGAAGCGGAGGACGTAACTGACTGCCAACTGGCAATCAAATTGCCAAAACTGCTGAAGGGATCCAGAGTGAGGTGGATGAGGTCACTGCCCAGTGAAGTCGCTGCAAGGTGGTCGAGTGGTGGTTCAAGTTGTCCAAAACAGGTATAGAACGAGCTTCAATGGAGGAGGGATAAGAGGAAGAGGGTCATAGAAATCTTTTTCATAACGGAATAGCTACATCTCCCGCACCAACCACCATCACCACCATCCCGGGCAGGGCCCCCCCTTTCCGCCAATCCCTTCACCTCACCCTCAGTTCCGGCAGCTTATGCGCACAACACAAGGGCCCTATGGCATGCGGCAGCGCCGCCCGTACAAGTGCCGCCTCGCTCAGCTTCGTTAGGCGACTCAGCTCCGGAACCAATCTGGGTGACGTCAGCACCCCGCTGCCCAAGCGGTGTAGTACGAGCGGGGCTAGGGGGCCCTCCAAAAGGAAGCGGCGAGGGGAGGTGCCGCCGCCAGTACGGCAAGTGAGGGACTCCAGGGCATAGCAGGCCGCGGCGCGGAGCTGGGGATGAGGTGGTTGGGGGTTGGAGGTATAGGGGGGTGGGTGGGAGGCGGAGGGGAGGCGGAGGGGAAAAAGGGGGGGAGAGAAAGAGGGGTTCGTGTGCCGTACAGCGCGTGGGCATGGGTCAGGGCGGGGGGGCCCACCTGGAGGGCCACAGCAGCGGCATCTAAGAGGCATAAAAGAACATCCAGATTTCCCCCTCTTGACCATGCATACATGCATACATACATACATACATACATACAGGTGTTACCCAAACAACGTCCCCCACCCAAACCCCCTGTCGTACCACACACCTGTCGCTCCTCCCCCCCCAAACACCCCAGCACCAGGAGCACCAGGAGCGGTCCCGTATCTCGTCCCGCCAAAACCCCTGGCCCCGCCAACCACACCGCCGCCGCCAGCAGGCCGCAACGGACGTCAGCAGGGAGAGGCGGTTGGGAGTCCAACAACCAGTACTGCAGGCAGCGGATAAACTCACGCTCCGCCGCGGCGACGATGGCGACCTGTGTGACTGTACGGCGTACGGGATATAGCATGGTATGTCGTACAGTGCGGAGTAAAATAAGGTGGAGAAGGGCAGTAGGAATGAGATGGATCCCGATGTGGATTCCGCTCGTACCGAATTCGAGATGCAAATTTGAACCCAGGCTGACAAACATAAATGTATGCACATACATACATACATACAGATATATACATGTACATACATATATATACATATATATAATATACACATATAGACACATACATACAGACAGCAGATGGGAACTGGTACGCTTCCCCCTCGAGCCATACTCCCTAGTGAAGGCAAGCACCGGCAGTAGTTTGGCGGGGTGGTTTCATGCAACGGAAATGCAACGGAAATGTACGAGCAGCCCAAAAACATCGCAACAACGGAATGGTGGTGCATACCCGCGGACTTCGTCGTCGTTGTCTGCTGCTGCTGCTGCTGCAGCGGCGGCGGCGATGGAGCTGCTGCTGCCGGCGGTGACGCCGGCCGCGGAGGACAACTGCCGTACACCTCAAGCAGCACCGCGGGCCGCAGCAGCACCCGTAGCAGGGCGCCGCCGCCGCAACGGACTGCTCCACTTGTACGACAGCACAGAGCAGATGAGAGCACCCGGCGGAGGGCAGCGCCGCCACCCTCCAAGCTGCCGTCAGGGCAGCGGGTCAGAAGGGCCTTTCGGGAGCAGTAGCAGCGGCAGCGGCGGCGGCGGCGGAGGCGACAACAAGTGTGAGGGTACGAAAATGCCGGCGGCTTGGGTGTCGGCGGCGGAGGTGGAACGCTCCGGGGATTCACACCCAGACCTCCAGTGATTGCAGTAAAAGTTAGCGGAAGAAAAACAAGAAGGGAACCCGGAAGGTTCTGCAACCAAACGTAGCAAGCCTAGTTTCCTAGTGGCAGCAGCGGGGGCGGAGTGGGGCCTGGGGAACGAGCCCTGGGATACCAGCGAGTGGAGCTGTTCTCACATTGACAGGCAAATGAAGGGATGAGTCGCGTGCAAAGTTCGTGCGTGTATTTACAAAACGCAACGACAAAAAGAATAATCGCCGCAGCCGCCGCCGCCACTACAACAGGCATGGATGTTTCCGTTCAATGCCGTACCACGCCGTACGCTCTGCTCACCCGCAAGGCCGTCAGCGCTGCCAGATGGGTTCCTGCCGGCGGCGGCAGCCCTCCGACGGGGCGGCTGACGCTGACGGTGCTACCAGCCGCCGCCGCCGCCGCCTCCTCCCCCGCTCGGCTGACAAGCCATGGCTCCAGGAAGGGAAGTACGGCAGTGAGGGGCGGCCAGGAGGCAGTGACAGAATCGGCCGCCTGGTCGGACGAGGTCGCGGCGGCGGCCGGCGGCATTCCGGCGTGTACGGCACCGTCCGCCGCGGCGGCGGTGGCTTTCAAAGGCCCCAGCCAGAGCTCAGTAGGTAGGAACGGCAAGGTAGCCGCTGCTGCCGTCGCCGCCGCAGCAGCGGCATTCGCCGCTGCCGCGTGTGCGTGTACGTTGGCGGCGGCATTTCCGTTGGCGCTAACGGCGGCGGTTAATTCCGTTGCTGAGCGCTGAAGGAAGGTACGGGCCTGGCAGATCCCCTGGACCAGTGCCTGAAGAGGAAGAGGAGGGATGGTGGGGTGCGCCGGTGGTGATGGTGGCGGCGGCGATGGTGACAGTGTCGAAAAAATCATAAATAGTGAATTGTAACTGTTGAAAAAGCTTCGCAACGGCCAGCAAACCAGGTGATTAAAGGTCCTGAAGAGCCGCACGCGCAAAAGTGTTCGGCGGGTGATAAAGGGAGGGGAGAAGGGGGGAAGACAAACCACGAAAAACGAGTGAAGCTCGTGCCACGGAGGATAGAATGATACATGCGAAGGGAGAAGGAAGGAAGGGAGGTAGGTGGGCTGAAGGATACTGGCAGGGGGGGTGCCTAACACCCCTGGCAGGGGTACCGAACTGAAGTGCATTTCGCATCAGTAACGAGATCGACGCAGAATCGTCCGCATAAGACTGTTAGCAGTGGCATAGTTAAAAAAAACACAGGTGCACGAGCAGCACAAATTATACCTTAGTAGTAATTCACCAAAAAACAAACAAACAAACAAACATACATACAAACCTGCAGCGTCACTGCCGCCAGCTGGCTCCCCCATTGACATCTCAATAGGTTAGACATGCAGGTCAAACTGTCAAACAACGCCGCGTCCAGACCCGCGCCTGGCGCACACAGAGGCAGCGGCGGCGGCGGCAGGCTGGGTTTACCCGCGGCGCCGCTGCCGCCGGCGCCAGAGACGCTGTCGGAAGGTGGTGGTGGTGGTGGTGCGACGGCGGCGGCGGCAGCAGCGGCGGTGGAAGTGTTGATGTACGGCGGCGGCGGCGCAAGGGCCTCTTCCCGGGCGCCGCCAAGCTCCAACAGCATTTCGGGAAGCAATTTGGGGAGAATCTTGGATGCAAAGACGACTTTAGTATCCGAACATACGTCTGCGGTTGAGCCGGGTCCGGCGGCGGCGGCGGCGGCGGCGCCGGTGCCAGCGCCTTCTGCAGACGGGCGCTCCGAAACCACCGTCTGAAGCATCCCCAGCGGCAGCGCCCGCGTCACCAAACCCTTTCCAGCCGCACCCAACAATGCCAGGATCGCAGAGACCGACGGCGGCGCGGCGCCGCCAGCCGTGCGGCCTAAGGCCGCCGCCGCCGCTGCCGCCGCCGCCGGCGTCAACTCTTTGGCCAAGTACGCGCATCTCGACATGACCCCCATTACAAGGCCACGCAGGGAGGCTTGCTGGGAAGAATCTCCGGAGGGGCCCCGCGGCGGCGGAGCGACCCGTGGGTCAGTGGCGGCTGTGGTGCACCCGCCGCCGCCGCCGCCCGGCGCTGCTGCCTGCAGCGGCTGCGCTAGCAGCCACGTCTCTAAATTACGTCCCGCAAGAGCTAAGACAACCTGAACCAAGCTGTCCGCCGCAGCGCCGCCGAGGGCGGCTGCGACGGGTGGTACGGCTGATGCCGCCGCCGCCGCCGTTGCCGGAGTCATCGCACCGCCGCCAGCTGTCCATAAAGGTGCGGAACTGTCGCAATCTGAAGGCCAGATGTGCTTCGCTGGGGACACCATCAATGCCTGATGGAACCCGAAGAATCGCCCCCGCGCAAGCGATTCGAATAGGGACGGGGACGGGGACGGGGGAACGAGGGGGAAGGGGGGAGGGGGGAGGCAAGGTGGATAACTGTCAAGGGGTGGAGGTGGAGGTGGAGGTGGAGGTGGAGGTGGAGGTGGAGGTGGAGGTGGAGGTGGAGGTGGAGGTGGAGCAATAATTTGGGACTGACTCGTCAGCTGCGGGACGGTAACAGTGTGCCGCCGAAGTGAGAGATTATCACCAGCAGAGGGTTTAGAGACAGCCCAGGGGCATGCACGACACATGTACGACAATCAGATCAGATACGAGAGGCAGATTCGTTTAGCCGCATCCTTACCGGCAAGGACTCTAGCAGGAGCGCGACGGCGGCCCGGAGAGCCGCCGCCAGCGCCGGACAGCCGCCGCCAACATCACCGACATCGCCAACACAGCCGCCGCCGCCGCCGTCGCCGCCGCCGCTAGCGGCCGCAACTCCAGATCGCTCCCTCATCACAGCCAGCGTTACGACACAGCAGGTACGGCAAATCGCTGCCCTGGCCCTGTCAACGGCAGCCGGCGCCGCAGCAGCCGCGGCCGCAGCGGCGACATCACCCGCGGCCGTGACGGCTTCAGCCGGCGGCTGCTGCGGCGGCGCCGCCGCCGCTACGGCAGCAAACCGTCGCGTCCACTCGCCTGCGATTCTCGTCACCAGCAGCAGCAGCTCGGGACAGCCGGGTGGCAGTAGCGCCGCCGCGAAGTGCTGTAGCAGCAGCACCCTCGCGTGTACGGAGGCCTCTACGGCAGTAGCTGCAGCGGCGGCGCCACGGCAGCGACGGAAAACCGCACAGGTCGAGCCAAGTGTCAGCGAGTCAATTCTTCGGTGGTTCAGTTGGCCGCAAGCTTGCTAGTTAACAAGTCAAGAAGCCAAGGCCACAAAACGCAACGAAAACGCAACGAACTTTACAGAGGCGGAGGTAACGAAAAACGGAAAAGACAACCGCAAAAGAATAGACGCAATGTGGAGGCAAGAGTTTGTGCGTTACCAGACAGCAACCGTCGCATGGTCAATGGAAATGCGCCCCCGAGCTGTACTCGTACGACAATGTACAACAATGAACAGGATGAATGCACAACAGGACTTATTGTTTGTGACCCCTCGGTAACTAGCTCCGGAACCTACCGTCAAGAGGCGAGTCCACCAATGGCGGCGGAGACAATCCCGCCAGAAGCCGTACGACAGCTCCCGCGCTGGCGGCAAGCGCCGCCGCCGAGGATCCGGCGGCGGCGGTGCAGCCGCCGTCGCCATAGAATCTCGCCGCCGCCGCCGCCGCCGCGGCAGCGGAGCGGCCCTTTGCAGCTGCGACCGCTGCTTCACCCGCGGCGCCGCCGCCGCCGCCGCCGCCACCACCGCCGCTCACGTCGCTATCGCGCAGAGCCCGCGCCTCAGCTTGCGTTCTTTGCTGGTAGGCATTTTGGCTGGCGAACATTTCCTGTAAATTGCCATCTATAGGTCAGAAGGGCATTGGAGGAGGAGCGAGGGTGAGCGAGAGGGGGAAAACGGGTTTAGGTTCATAAGCGGTTAAAGATAGAGCCCTCCATCTCACCCGCCCGACTCTGCCGCAAAAAACTCTGCCGCAAAAAAAACATACAATATATACAATTACGCATGAATATGGACATACAGATGGACTAAATCGTACACAGCCTACCTACATTTTGCAATGTGGTGATGCTGTTGCTGACTTTGCTGCTGCTGCTGCTGCTGTTGTTGTTGCTGCTGCTGCTGCTGCCTGCCCAGGCCACCGCCGCCCCCGCCGCCACCGCGCCGCCGCTTCGACGGGCGCTCCAGGGATCCCTCCGCCGCCGCCGCCACCGCATCCACCTCCATCACCATCACCACATCATCGTCAATGTCCTCGCTGCAGTTCCGGTCAGCCGCGACGCGCTCCGTTGCCGCCGCCGTCGCCGTCGCCGCCGCCGCCGCTCTGCCGCCAGCCCTGCCTAGGCCTGCGGCTGCTGCGGTGGCCCCAGACGCGGTGACGGCCGGTCCTGATGACCCATGGGTCCATCTTCGCGCCGCGGGTCGCACCGGCTCGCGAGGGGCCATATTCAGATAGGCGCGTACGGCAGACGCAACGCGCTCTGCGGGAAGGTTCCGGAATTCAGTGAAATAAATTCTCACTTTCAAAAGGCGCTCCGATATTCCAATGAATGAATGCGATAGATCAAGGTTTCGTTATAGTTAAGCTAACGCAGACTGAAAAAACAAAGACTGAAAAAACAAAGACTGAAATTTAAACAAATGATTTCGGTCATGCAAGTACCTGAAACAAAGGGTTGCGAGAGCCAGCGAACGACTGTAGACCTCAGACTCGCCATCGCCGCCGCCGCCGCCACCACGACGGCAGCCTCCGACGACAGTACGGCAGGAGATGATCCAGGCGGCCCCGGCGCGGCCTGCGGCGCCTGCGGCGCCGCCGGCGCCGCCGGCAACCGCAACAGCAGCTCCAGCAAGCCGCGTTGTACGGCGTACGGTGTAAGCTCCGGACATGTACGAATACAGATATGGAGACAGGGCAGGTAGTAGTCGTGTACGGCGGCAGCAACAGCGGCGGCGGCACGTTTGGGGTGTTCGGACGCTCGCCCGCCTACTGTTGTCGACACTGCTGCTGCTATGTGAGCGGGGGCTACTGCTACTGCGTCCTGTTTGTTGGCGGTGCAGGAAAGCAGGCAGACCCGCAGCAGCAATGCGACCAGCCTGCAGCATAAGGGATCACCATCAGGTGGAGGAAGGGGGTTAGGAGGAAGTTATTTTCCTCCAGTCAAGGAAAGAAGATAACTCTGACACGCCCAACTGCTAACTGCTAACTGCCAACTGCCTGGGGAGTTAATCCGAAGCAATGGCATGTACGGGTCAGGGTAAGGGGCTGGGAGCCGAGGGGGAGTCGTTACATTGGGGAATCTTTAAAAAACGTATTTTTCCGAAAATGGTTTTCACAGGCCACGCAATGCTCGCCAAAAGCCCCATGCAGAACAAGACCCGCCGACAGACCGACCGACCGACAGACAGGCAAACAAACAGACAAGCAGTCGCACCGCTCAGAGTATGGGGCCAGGAGGCCCGCCGCCGCCAAGCTGCCGCTGCTTGACTCCAGGGCGGCGCTGACGGCGGAATGCCAGGAGGATGCGGCGGCGGCGACGGCAGCGGCGGAAGCAGCGGTGGCGGCGGCGGAGGGCGCCGTTGACAGCGGCGACGGCCCCACTGCCGCCGCGGCCCCCTTCGGCCCCTCACCGAATGACACCACTCCATCGCACCACGCCTGGTTATCAACAGGCACATTTTTCCAGGGTGACAGTTGGTAGTTGACGGGTAGTGGTTAGTGGCGATGGTTAGTGGCGGTGGTTAGTGGTTAGTGGCGGCGACAAAAAGCAAGACAAAGGCAAGGCACGGCAAGCTCCGGACTCGAACTCAGAACTTCTCACCTCCAGCAAGCTCATGGCCACGTGCATGAGCCCCTCTGCGGCACCGCACCCCACCAGCAGCAGCTGGCAGCCCCCCCCTCCTCCTCCGCCTCCTCCCCCCCCAGAAAGGGCCACCATGCGGGCGCAGCAGCTCAGCAAACTGGCCTGGGACCGCGGGTGGCCGGGACTGGCCACCACCAGCTGAAGCAGCGCCTGTGCGGGTGGTGGTGATGGCGGTGATGATTATGGTGGTGGTGATGGTGATGATGATGATGATGATGATGATGGCGGTGATGATTATGGTGGTGGTGATGGTGATGATGATGATGATGATGATGATGATGGCGGTGATGATTATGGTGGTGGTGGTGGTGGTGATGATGATGCTGATGATGGTGTGTGTGGGGGGAAATGTATCATGTGCATAGAGCCCTTGGAGAGAGTCATCCTCCAAAGGCCACGTAATATAATAATCATGAGCAGGAGCAGGGGTTATAGGGGGGGACACTGGGGTTTGTTTATTTGCATGCGATCCATGTTGGGGGGGGCTGGATGTGGTCAATTAAACCACCACGGGGGAGGAGAATCCCCAACAATGCCGACAATACCGAGATGGATGAGCAGCAGGAAAAGAAAACTATTGCAGGCCGTGCCCGCGGCCGTGTGGCGTGGGTGAGAGCGGCCATGCGATTATGTCACTATAAGTCACTCAGTCTTGTCGTTTGTGTACGTCCGTATGTATGTAAAAGTACTGCACACACCTGAGGTACGAGCGGCGGCACCAGCGGCGCCAGCAATTGGGGATGATGCGACATAAGGCCCGACAACACCGCACAGCCCGCCTCCGCTGCAGCCTGCCATGGTGAACAGATATAACCGTACGGAAGTTCCGCCGTACGGACATGTACGGTTTTGGGGCCACGCATACAAAACATCCGAACAGAGAGAAGGAAAGGGAAAAGGCAGAGACATTAGAGTTGAGGAGGCAGCAAGAATGGTGGTGATGACTGGGCACGGCGATGGAGAGATGAACTTCGGCTCCGAAACCGCTACAGTCCGAACGAATCACTGATCACTTGAAGGGAAAGGTAGGTAGCGAATGTAAAAAAAGCGAGGACCATCTCTGCGCGAAACCAGGGATTGTTGGAAGCGCTAGTGAAGGAGGAAAGACGAACCACGAGCGAGTGAAGCTGCTGCCAGTGAAGGGGGAAAAGGAGAAGAAATAAATACAAACATGCATACATACAAACGTCAGGTGTGGGCGAGGGGACAACACACAAAGAAAAGAACAACAGAAACAGCAACAACCCCCCCCTACACACACACACACACGTGGATCAAATTTCGAGTGTTGGTCTTCTGTCGGACTTAGGCCAACCCTTGAGTTCGCGGCCCGATGGGGCCTGGAAACATTAACGAACCAACCAACCACCGATCAACCAACTAAGGAAGCAGTAACGCCCGTGAGCACGATTGCCATGGAAAACACTAACAAGAAAACAATAGTTACTAGATAGCGGAGCAAAGCAATAGAATAATAGGTCAAGATAGAAAAGACTTCTGAAAAGGTTTCTGAAACAAAATTAAGTCCTCGTGATGAATTTATAGATAGTGTTTTTTTGGATATGTTTTTCTGAAGAGGAAAGCCGATTGCCCAGTTCCATGGGCCCCTCATGGCCCCCACCACAACCCCCTCCCCCGCCATCCCTGGACTCACCACACACTGGGGGGCCGTTCCCAACAGCACCATTGGCAACTTCACCAACACTGCATCATCATCCCCCTCCCCTTCCCCCAACTGCTGCTGCTGCTGCTGCCGCTGCTCAGGATGATGTTGGCGGTTGGGGGCAAAGAAGCACTCAAACGCCTCGACGTTAGGCCCCAAGCCAACTGCCGCCGCCGTCGTTCCGGTGGTGGCGGCGGCAGCAGCAGCGGCCTCCGGCACTGCCGCGGCATCACCGCCGCCGCCGCCGCCACTGCCGTACGGAGCGCCGCCATGTGGGTTGGAAGCCGGCGGCAGAGACAACAGCAAGAGCTGCTGCTCCGCGTCTTTGTACGGCAACAAATAACAGAGCCATGGTACACGTCAGAAGCCACAGCAATCAAGACAATCAAGCCGTTCAGGTTTTTTTGAAGGAAGCCGTTGAAAGAATCTGCTTTTCAACGTTAATCCTATCGCCAGGGAGGCCTCAGGTCCCTATCTATCATCGACACCAGCTTATTGACAGGTACCGGCACACCGGCACATCGGGTACGGCATAGTTCACCCCCTCTACACACACGCACACATACACGCGCACACACATTGCACATCCATCACCCCGTCCTCCCCCCCCCACACACACACAAACACACACACGGATCAGCTCCACAAACTCCCTCCCCGGCTTTCCCCCCCTACACACACAAACACACACACACACGTTTACACACCGAGGATGAGCTCCATGGCTCCGGCCGCCAGGTCCACCAGCAGCCTCCTGCGCTCTGCCTGCCCCGAAACCAGACCCACCATTCGGATCAACAAAGCCACCATTCGATCCAAAAGAGACCTGGGGCCCCAGCAGCAGCGGGGGGTGGGTGGGGGCACAACGAACCCGGACGATTGAAGAAAAAAATACCAGTGGGGTGACCAGAGGGGACAGCACGGCAAGGAAGCGTGGAGGAAAGCAAGGAGAAGCTTTTAGGTCCAGATCTGTGATGTGATGTGTGCTGTGTAATAGATTTGGGTTGGCTTGGGATGGAGGAGAGGATATGAGAGAAACGATTTGAGGACTTCAACAATCGGGTTCAATCTGGCCTTCTGCTTCCGTTTCCGTACTTAGGTGTCGAGTTGGGGCTGTTGTCTTGCTTTGATTTTATCTGGGTCGATATTACCGCTGAAGTAGGGTGGATGAGGGGGGTCTAAACGACTGTGGATTGCGATTGATTGGAGGTTGGGACGGACAGGTTGATTGGGTTGTTGAGCGCTGCTGGCTGGAGGTAAAATCCCCGATCTGGGTTTTCCTTCAATTATTTTTATCCTACCCCCTAGTATATATCCGACCGGGGTCATGGACGACCAACTTGGGATGCGGTCACGCGCATAGCAAGCCCTCCTCAGCCCCCCGCCGCCGGCAGGGGGTGCTGTGCGTGCTATGGGCGGTTCATGAAGGACCGAAACCCGCCCAGTGCCTCTGTACGACTTTTGTACATACATACATACAAGAGGATGGCGCCCGATTGCTGTTGTTTGATTGGCCGGGTGCTGGTGATACTCTCCGATGTGTGGGCTCGTTGTCGCAGACAGTACTTCAAGACGTTTTGCACTGGTCCCTTGGCCTCGGGGTTCACAGAGTTGATCGATCGCGAGAGAGCAGAACCGCTTCTTTCACCTGGGGCTTTCAGACCGGTCCATAGCTCGAGATCTCCTCCTTGATTTTTTCATCTTAATTTGATTTGGGTTTGCAAGATTTGGGGTAATTTTCAAGTCCTTTCATTGGTTTGGGCTGCAATCGCACTACTCCGCACTGCAACGCCAGTTTGATTTGGGTTGTGGTTGTGGTTGTGATGGAAAATAGATGTGAGATCGGCATACGCAAAGGGACTTGTGCATTTAGGCTGCCACACGTGAAACACCCGTTTACCCTTCTTTCTTTAACTCCGGAGACACTCCGGAAACACGCTCTTATCGCGGCGTCGCACGATGCTGTATTTCGTTTTGTATGTCGTGCTTGCCTGTACCGGCCAGCTGCCGCCAACAGCAGACCCAACAGGCTGCAAACTGCAGAAAGGTGGAGTCCATCAGGACCGCAAAAGACTATGGGCAGACGCTCCGCCACAAATTCCGCTACCGACAGCACCGTGATGGCGTCCTGCTTCAGGCCTTGGTGTTGCCGGAATACATAGGTACAGAGGCACGGAGGCATGGATGCGGACTTAGTTGTGGGTTAGGAAACGTTAATGAATTCCGGTAGTAAAAAAGCCAGCCACAAATATAAGCCTCATAGAAGCCCGCGACAAACTGACATATGGCATATGTGTCAAAGGGGCCGGGGCGGCTGAAAATAATTACGAGGCGGAGGCGCTTATCCCCTGTGCATGACCAGTCAACCCAGTTGCAGGCAATCAGGGCAACGGTGTCGAGCGGGCACGATGACAAGACAGTGGCGCGGGCGCTGAGGAACTTGGGTTATTTGGGAAATTTGCTAAGCTAAGATATATCACGCCTCACGGAGCATCTGGGACTACTCTCAGCGTCAGCTCACCCGTTCCGTGACGGCTAGCATCGGCGCATGCGTTCAAGAGTACGCTTACGCCGCTGCGCAGCTTTGCCACCAGAGGGTCGTTCTGGCTCGCTTGGCTCTGGCCGCAAGCTCCAAGCGCTGCGCTAAGAGCGGCTTGCAGGTCCTGCAGCGCCCAGATGGCTTTAGTCACGAACAAGCGGGTTTGCTCCCAACAAGTAACCTGCGGCAGACCCTTCCTGACCCCTTACCAAGAGGAGCTGAGAGTTAAGAAATTGTGCAGCCGTGCCTCCCTGGCCAGGTTCGCCCTGCATCTGTTGGGCTGTCGAGGCCGCAGCTTGCGGAGGCATCGCCATTCGCAACGTACTTTACTTAAAGCATCGATGTTACAGTCGTATGTGGCAACCTTGCAAAACTGCGTTCATCAACGGGAGGTAGGCCAAGCCGGAGGCATTCATACGCCTTTTTGGAACTTGGAGCTCTCAAGTATCGTGAGTAAAGTCGCTTCTGATAGCAAGATTTTGTTTTAACATGTTTTCAATTATGGAAAGCCCTCAGCATCAGAGGGAGCAATGGGCGCTCCCAGCGATCGTCTAACACTTACGGCATGCGCAATGCAGGATGGCGCGATAGCAGCACTCAATATTTACCCAACGCAATACAGCTCTTCAATTCTTCACGACAACATTTTAACCGAATTGTTTCATGAGAAAATCCTTCTGTGACGGTTGGCACCTCGCTTTTGGGCTTGACTAAACCACGGAAAGGTGCGCATGGATGATGGCCTACTTGTCACCTTTGTGAATCAGCTCCATTGAGCCGAAATCCACGAAAAATGTTGGGTCTGCCGGGGTCGCCTCCACGCGCAGCATGCACTGCATGCTCCGCACCGCCTTTACACCGCGAATACAATTTTTTTTATAAGGACCGTATTGAAATAGACTTTAATTTGCCTTAAAGTCAAATAAGGCTCGCTGCAATGCGGTTCAACGCATTCCCTATCTCGCCGGAGCGAGATCGGGGGCTTTTACTCTGCTGGCTTCCCTGAAACTTCCAACTCCTCGCATTCCTCCCCCTCCTCGTAGCATCAGTCGCAGAAGCAGTTCCTGCGTGAGTCAACGAACAACGTCCGCACATTCGGCGACATCAGGGCGGAGTGGGCCACTACCGTACTTGTGGCTACGTGTGGTCTAACTTCGGGGGGCCAAAACCATAATGGGAACTGTTGAAGGGCAGATTGGGCAAGGAGACAGCCTGGGCCGAGAGCTTGATAGGTGTTCTACTGCCAATCCGCATCATGCGGATTGGCAGTACATCTATCTGGCTCTACGGCCAGATGAGAGCTGCGTCGAGACAGCGGCTCATGAGAAACTTACATGCACACATACAGACTTTGACACAGCCCTCACGATGACCATCTCGCCGTCTGCACACCTAGATAGCAGGCTGCATTAGCGGTAAGCCCGTAACCGGTGTAATCTTGTTCACACGCTGCTGCTAATGTTGCTGCTGCTGCTTGCTGCATGCGGCTGTAGATGTGGCTACAGCAACCCCTTGGTGCATACGCGCTCTATTAATATTCGTAGTATATATAAGTAGTGCAAAACAACACTGGTTCTGTGTTACTGTCTCCCTTAACTGGTTCTGGTGGCTGTGGATTGGCTGACCCGATGGTGCTGAATGGCGTGGTTTGGACGATTTTGGCGAGAATTGCACCTCTGCCACGGGCCTTACACAGCAGCACTACACGCGGCGCGACGGGGAGGCGAAACTCTCCGTCTCCCGCAGCCTGGGCCTCGCCAGTGAGCAAATGTCTCTTCGGTCTGCTGTGTAAGGCCCGTGGCAGAGCTGACTATTCGGACAAGGCTGTATGCTCTTCTGTGTGAAGGCAGAATGACTTCACCAGGAGAGCAGCAAGGTTTAAGTCGCCACTGCGACCCAGTTGTACGACAGTACCACAGAACCAGCCTTAGAGGCTCCGGTCGCTTCGCTCCGTCGCATCTAAGCCAACAATTTTGTACAAGGTCTGTGCTGCTGTCTTGCACTCGACGAGGAGGTCCATACACTCGTACGACATCAGTTCGACCGAATAACCGAAAGCCTGGCAACGGCTTGCAGGAATACACTCATAAACTCAACTCCGTGACCGCATCCCCCTGCACGCAGACACACATACAGACACACACACATACAGACACACATACAGAGACACATACAGACACACATACAGACACACATACAGACACATACAGACACACATACGCACACAAGTGAACCAAAATACCTTAAAGTTCTTGTAGGCAGGCAGTGTGGGGCAACGATGCCATCGTACATGTCACGACAATCGTCGAGCACAATCTCTCACTTCTAGCTAAACAAACAAACAAACAAGAAAAATGAAACTCCCGTGCCGCCCAGGTCACTTAGCAGTCAACTTCCTCCACCTCCACAGCTCGGCAACCGTCATACCCCCCCCCCTCGCTCTCTTTACTCTCTCTCCCTCCCGCGCAATTTTCCTGGCAAAGAGTCTTTGCCTACAGATACCCTACAGATACTTACAGACATACGTACATACAGACATACGTAGGCGCTGCAGAGCGACTGCATTGTGTGTTGGAGCCAGCCGGAGTCGGGCGGGGGCAGAGGAGCACACAAGACTCGCCGCGACGACTTGTGCTGTGTGTGCTCCCTAGACTCTTGCACAGTTTTTCGGCTCTGCCCCTCCCCCCAGCTTTCGCGGCCCACAGTGTAATCTAAGTCATACACACACATCTTGCCATGGAAGGAGAAGACACCCGTATGTATGTCCGGCAGCAGCTTAGACACTCGCCGGCCAGCAGGGATAGCCCAGCAGCACCAGCAGCAGCGGCACCAGCAGCAGCGGCACTCAGCAATGGAGGTGACATCATTCAGAGCTCTCTCAGCACCAACCTCAGCAGTAGTGCTGGTGCTGATGGTGGTGGTGCTGGTGCTGGTGGTGGTGGTGGCACCTGCAGCAATGTGTAGTGATGGTGGTGGTGGTGGTGATGGTGGGAGTGGTGTGTGGCGGGAGCGGTTGTGGTGGTGGTGGGGTTCACTCCGCGGCCGTGGCGCTACCAGGTCGCCAAGTAGTGCCCTGTGGGGGCCAGTGGGGGAGGATGTGCATGTAGAGGAGGGGGGATGTGCATGTAGAGGGGGGGGGATGTGCATGTAGAGGGGGGAGGATGTGCATGTAAAGGAGGGGGGATGTACCAACCAGCATGTAAATCGCAACGGGTGGAGTCAGCAGGGCGGAGGAGAGGAAGGAGACGTGAGAGGAGAGGGGGAGGCGAAGAAGGGGGAAGAAGCGCAAAGGCGCGCCGACACCGGGAGGGAGGTGCACGGTGATGATCACACTGATGAGAACAGATCGCCTTTCTAAGCTCCACTCCAATTTTCACAAAACACCAGAAGTGCCACTCCACCTCACCCACTAAAATAAATCCCTGATATCCGCTGCAAGAACTTCACTCGCCTGTGGTTCCTCTTCCCCCGCAAATGCATACAAAAACACAGGCACACAACAAACACACACAGACGGCCTCTGTACGGCGGCCCACACACCGCAACCCACCTTTGGAGTGTCCAGCAGCAATATCCCCCGAGAAGCTAGCTCCAGGCGGATGGCATCTGAGCGAGCAAAGTCCTTCGCCTGCCGGGCCTGAATCAGCTCAGAACGAGGGGCGCGGGAGGGGTTAGGACCGGCAGTTTGTAGTTGGGCGGTTGGCAGTTATGTTCGTTTTAAAAAGGCCCCAACATCCCCACCTCAGCTCGTTCCCGAATGGCGCTCGCCACCTCCTCCTCGCTCATACCCACACGGACAAGGGCCAGGGCCCGCAGCTCCTGATGGCCCAAGAGGGGAGGACGGTTGACAGTTGACAGTTGGACGGTTGGCAGTTATTAGTTAACGTGTTGGGATGTTAAGGGAGCCATCTCGGGAGAACAGGACGGGATCATCGGAGAGGCCCCGTGAGCTCTCAGGGGGAGGGGGCCCAGACAGGAGGAACGAGGAAGATCGTGTGTGTGTTTGTGTGTGTGTGTTTGGGGGGGGGGGGAAGACGAACCATGAACGAGTGAAGCTGCTGTGTTTGGGGGGGGGGGAAAGACGAACCATGAACGAGTGAAGCTGTTGTGTTTGGGGGGGCAAGAAGACCCTTTTCCGATAGGGCTTTTTCCTGGTAAGGCTCCTCCTAGAACCAAGCAGTTGCCGAGGAGGAGTAGTCCCCTTACCTGCAGCAGCTGTTCCAAGCCCGCCGCCGCCCCCTCCAGACTCCCTTCCAGCTGCGGCTGCTGCTTGGTCCCACTGTTTGGCTCCATACCCAGCAGCTCCATCACCACGCCCATGGCCACATGCAGCTGGGCCAACACCGCCAGTCTGGGGGTGACGAGGGGTGTGGTCGGAGGGTGTGTATTGGGGGGGGGGAGGAAGCGCGGGAGGAGTGGAGCTTCGTACTGCAATGGCTGGATAGCTAGGTCGTTAGGACGCGGGTGTGAAGAGCCCCCACGCAGAAGATCACCATTATCACCATCACCATCAACATCAACATCAACATGACCATCATCACCATCACCATCAACATCACATCACCATCACCATCACCCTCACCATCATCATATGGGTTCCCCCCCTCCCAACCCAGCAGCCCAGCTCAAGCCCTCTTTCCCCCGGGCCCCCCCCCAAGTCACCTGTCGGGTCGCTTCCTGCCAGCCTTGGTGGTCATGAGGTCATTGATGGTCCTGAGCGGCCCACTCAGAGCCCCCACAGCCGCCGGGGTGTTGAGGTCGTCAGCCAGGGCCGACAGCACCTCCGAAACCAGGACCGCACCAGAGGAAGTGGAGGAGGAGGAGGAGGTGGCGGCAGGTTCCTGGTTTTGTTGCTGTTGGTGGTGATGTGACGTGTTGTTGTTGGTGGTAGTGGTGGTGGTGGTGGTTGAGGTGAGGGAGAGGCGGGTACGAGCCTCCGCTACCGCTTGCTCTCCTGCGGCACCTGGGGAAAGGGGTGGGGACGAGGGGGCAGTTATGTGTTTTGTGTGGGGGGGAGGGGAGGGGAGGGGGCATGCAAGGGGGAAAGGAGGAGCCTATGCTTGTATGAAACGAAGCCGGGGAAGGCGTGAAAGCCACCAGGGTTAACAACAGCAGCGCCACCAGCGGGAATTATGCAACGCAACGCAGGAAGCCCTCCCCCCTTTCCCTTCGCCACCCAAACCTAAAAACGACATCTTGCAACCACCTTGAAGCAACCACCTCCTGATCAATCCTGAAACCCAAAGCCCGCACCAGTCCAGCCCTCCCCGCCACCTCCCCACACACACATTCCAATCCACCCAGTCCCCTGGACCCACCAGCGGCCCGCAGCACCTCCACAACATCCGCCCGCGCCTGAATCACGTAATACAGCCTGCTACTGGCTTCCTGCCGGGGGGTTGTCGGGGGGTTCCGTGGTCGGAGGGGTTTGGGGGGGTCCAGAAGTGCGTGTGTGTGAGGGGAACCATGTCTGCCCGTGTGTATGTGTGTGTATGTGTGGTTGAGGACAACCTATTTTCCCCTTCCCTCCCCTCCTTCCCCCTTCCCTCCTTCCCTCCCCCCTCCTTCCCCCTTCCCTCCTTCCCGCCCCCCTCCTTCCCTTCCCCCTCCTTCCCTCCCCCCTCCTTCCCCCTTCCCTCCTTCCCTCCCCCCTCCTTCCCTCCCCCCTCCTTCCCTTCCCCCTCCTTCCCTCCCCCCTCCTTCCCCCTTCCCTCCTTCCCGCCCCCCTCCTTCCCTCCCCACCTCCAACCCCTTGTCACTGTAGTTGAGAGGCGCCCGGTACTGCGCCGCCAGCAGGAACCACCGCAGCGCGAGCGGATGGTAGCTGGACAGCACATCCCGGATGGTGAAGAAGTTACCCAGCGACTTGGACATCTTCTCGCTGTCCACATTCACAAAGCCGTTGTGCAACCAATACCGAACAAAGTCGGTGCCGTTGTGCAATTGATCCGGATCTCCCGAGGAGGAGGTGGTGGCGCTAGCAGAGGAATGGGGTGACCCATGGGTCCGTCCACATCCACATGCTGCTTGACTCTGCGCCAGCTCGTTCTCGTGGTGGGGAAACACCAGGTCCCGACCGCCTGCGGGGGATATGTATGTATGTATGTATGTATGTATGTATGTATGTATGTATGTATGTATGTATGTATGTATGTATGTATGTATGTATGTATGTATGTATGTATGTATGTATGTATGTACATGAGAACGAAAGAGAGAAAAAGAGAGGGAGAGGAAAAACCAGGGGGTCAGGGGGAACGCAGGAATTGCGGCCACCCGACTAAAAAGCCCGAAGCAGCTCTGAAACATCTAAACCACGAAAACCCCCAACCTCCAAAAATTACAATACCTGGCGGCCCGTCCCGTCCCGTCCCGCCCAAACACACCAAAATCCTCCCCCAGTTCTCACCCCCCCCTCACCCCCCCCCCTCACCCCCCCCCAGCTCACCCCCCCTCACTCGCCTCCATGAATGTCGATCACGGGACCCA